ACAAAGAAAATATTTACTTGATCTAATCTCACATTTGACTAATTTGAAAATATATGTTGCTTCTTAAATTCAATACATAATTGAAATAAGATATTAAATATTTAAAGAAACCAAATCTTAGATTCCTGTAATTTGATATTCATGATAGTCAATACAATAATTATTTTATATTACATTAAATATGATTGACTAAAAAATTATTTTATTTGAATAAAATTAATATCTGTTTCGTGTAATTATATATATAATTCATATAAAATAGCTATTATTATTTTAAATAAACAAAATCGTACATTTAAATATATATATATATTTAAACATAATTTAATTCTGTTAAGCCAACTAAATATTTCTTTTGGTACAAATTTATTATTGTATCTATCGAGACATATTATTTTTGCAGATTAACAAATATTTGCTTGACAGCCCGTGACCGCCGCATATAGTCGAATAAAAAAAAATTTTTTTGATTGAACATTTTTTTTTTCTCAGTGTAGGCGTATGGCGTATTTACGTATATACACATACATTTAGTTATATTATTTATTTTTTTATTTATACACATACCTTTCTCTATCCGTCTCTTTTTCTCCCTTTTCTATCTCTTCTCTCTCTCTGTCTCTCTTTTTTCTTTTCTTTTTTCTTTCGTACACACGTAGAATCGTACACACAAGAGCATTAGCCATATACTGTTCTTGATGTGTGATTGTATGCTTTTTTATACCTTCTATCTTATCCCCTCTTATTAGAAAGTTATGTGACTTTATCTTTATACCTAAACGATATTCCAAGGCTACGTTAGGAAACATCACCCACGATACTTCAAAATCGCATATCTCTGAAACCAGAAGAGAGCGCCACAAAATTCAAAGTGCGTGTTACTTAGGAACGTGCCCTGTATAATATATGTAAAAATGAAAACGATCCGTGAGGTGTAAGTTAATCTGAACATTTACCATACTAAGGGTCAATTTCACCAAGTCCGGTTAGATGAACCGACGGTTAAAATTAGCAGGGTGGCCAACAGAAAATAGAGGTGAAGGAAAACCAAGCATTCTTATCATTTCAGTTGGAACCCTGCTAATTTTAATCGTCGGTTCATCTAACCGGACTTGGTGAAATTGGCCCTAAGCTATGTAACCGTTCTAGTTATAAAAGTGTGTTTGCTGGGCTAATACTACATCCGGTTTCGATTTCTTTTTTCAAGGCGAACGAAGAAAAAATGTTCTAAAAATATGCGCATGGGTAAAGAGATGAGAATCTTATTCGTTACCTCAGGCTACAAAAATACGAGATCAAAATGTAAAATTATGTTGAATATATCAAAGAGAGAGAGAAAGAGAAAGAGAGAGAGCGAGAGAGAGAGAGAGAGAGAGCGAGAGAGAGAGAGAGGGGGGGGTGAGAAAGAGGGTGAGAGTTTTGAGAGAGAGAGAGAGGGTAATGAATTTTCGGTAACGGTCGGGCGGTTACCCGAGCGCGTCGCCGGTTCTCCGTTTCGTGCTCCTAACGGCGGTTAGATATTTACGCGTTTTATTTATCGTTTAAAAATGGGCGCTCAGCGCCTCCGCATTTTGCCCGACCGGTGTTCATCGGGCGGCGGACTTCCGGCGGATCGGCGGCCGGGTAACGGTGGAGGGATGCATCGTTACATCACCCCCCTCCGTAGATTATGCCTGAATTTTGAGGCATTCGTTTACGTGATGTTTACGTTTTCGCTCGCATTATTTTAGACGGCGGCGGTATCTTAATTCTCCCGTTTTGGAGAATCGCATGATCTTATATTTGCGAGAGACGTGGAAAATAGTTTTTGAATTATAAATAATTTGAATTGCTCAATAATATCATGCAGAATACCTACATTTAGATAACTATAAATACATACCGATTTATTTTATTGATTTTTATAAGTTAACTAATATTGATTTTTACTATATAATAGATTTTGTTTTGTTATTTCTTTATATAAGTACTACGCATATTGTGATTGATATTGATAAGTTATTTGACATTTGATTTATTGATATTGATAATTATTAATAATAAAACTATTATATATAATTTATAATTAACCATTAATTATATAAATGCGTTTAAATATTTTATGCAATACTGCAAGCGCGCTCTGTGGTGAGTCTTGCATCACAAAGCGCGACCTTTGAAAAATTATTTCTAACACTTAAAAACATAGTGGTTCTTCATTCAAGCATTAAATCTAAAAACAGTCAACAATTTATTTTATTTCCCTGGATTAATGGAGCTGCTGTGTGTAGAAGTTGATCGACGAAATTGTTTGTATACCTTGTAATGTAATAATTATATGTGCGTAGTTTCATAATATGATAGATAGACTACTCCAAGCTATCGACGATTCGTCGTCCTTGATGATCTCATCTCTTTACCCATGCGCACATTTTTAGAACATTTTTTCTTCGTTTGCCTTGAAAAGAGAAATCGAAACCGGATGTAGTATTAGTCCAGCAAACACACTTTTATAACTATAACGGTTACATAGCTTAGTGTAACCAAATATAACAAGTAATATTACATAGGATTGTAACATGTAATACATTCATTCCTCGTAATTTCCCACTCAAGGAAGCAACAATGTTATATAGCTGTTATACATTTAACTGTAACAGTTATATAATGTTATATTATTGATACATTAAGAACATAACTGTAATAAAATTAAGATAACATGTTATTGCTATTAATTTGATATTTATATAATTATGTTATATGAATGTTATATCATAATTTTTAAATGTTTTTGAATATACATTTAACCCATACAGCACAAGAAGGTGGAGAAACATTACATAAATATGTCCTTGCCAGCAAAAGCTAAGCTTTTTGCGGATACACCTTGTCACAATTTTGCTGTAAAGGCATGCTCGAGTTTGCTGCAAACTTTGCGCAAAGTTTGCATCATTTTGCTTGCTGGGTGAGTACGACTATTTTAACATATATTATATAACAACAGTAAACAAATGATATATAACAGTTTTATAATAAATATATAACAGCTATTACTTTAATTTTTTATTCTAATGTCGTATAACTGTTATAATATGTGTTTTCACACACAGAGGGTATGTCACACATTACATTCACAAATCAATATTTTTTAACTTATATAAGAATTATATAGAAATTTCAACAAGATTAGAATATCCGGGAGTGGAGATTAGGCTAATTAAGAGCTAACAATAAGAGTGCAGTAAACCATGCGTTTAGCCCAATTAGCCCAATCTCCATTCCCGGATATTCAATATCAGAGCCTTTTATTTCAAGATTAGAATAATCTGAATAAAATAAACAAATTTATACTTGGAGTCAGAAGAAAGCAGATCTTGCGCACACACACATACAT